CATGTCAAAAATTTGTCAAAGGGGACAACTTTTTAACCAAAAACTACTTCACCCCCTTTCACCCCACTCCCTGGGGTCATTCCCTTAAAATTTTTTAATGACAATGGGTATCAAGTAAAAGCTTGTTTGAAAGGTCTTCCAAAGTCCTTCATTATGACGTTTAATTTTTTAAAATCAACCAATCTTAATTTCTTCCGAAAGAAAACAAAAACACCCGAAAATATCACTTTTTATGTCAATAAGTGCTCAAAATGTTGCCCATTAGGATTTGCCAAACCTACAATTCACTTATAATTTAAAACGGAATCTACCAACATGAATAGCAATTCGGACCATTAGACGTGGCAACAACCAAATAACCGATTTTCTTTCCTCATTCTTTCCGTCAACACAGTTATCCGGGCGAACTGTATTTATTGTTATACCTGATTAGTTATTTGTTGCTAAGGGAAAGAAAGAATTTAATTTGCTGTCCCTTTATGACAATCTTGGGATAGTGAAAATTATTTTATTGATTCAGGTTTTACTTCCAGAATGGTTTACACACCAGACGAAAGAGTTAAAATGTTTCTAATTCATGGTGCCTAAATCTATGTGCTCAGCAAACTGCCGTCGCGTTTAACGCCAGACACCCGGGGAAGATAATTTCGCATAGGTATGTTTTGGACCTTGTTACTAAAATTTACTCAAACTGGACCTGTTGCTAATAAAAAAACGTGATCATCAGAGAATCCGAATACTACGTTGCGCAAAATTGTTGCTGCGACCGAGACTCTGTAGATACAGTTACAAAAGTCCATAAATTTCATCCATTTAAAGTGAAAATATTGTAAGAGTTAACCGAAGATTACGGTAGGCGAGTTGAGTTTTGTGAACAAATGACTGGAGCGATTAATGATCACACCTTTCATGTAAAGAATATCTGCTTCGGTGATGATTCACTTTATCTAAATTGATTTGTTAATAAGCATGACTGCAAGTACTGGAGCAATGAAGATCATCATGCTTTTGTAGAAGGGCATACCCAGTACCCCCAAAAAGTTAATGTATGGGCAGGCATTTTAGGAAACAAAGTGACTTTGCCATTGTTTATTGATGGAAACCTGAATGGAGATATTTATTTGGATATGTTGGAAAACACCACCAAACCGCTTATCACTGAAACCATTGAAAACCAAATCGTAGTAGATGGAAACCCTATACTTGATAAAGCTGAAATACATTTCCAGCAAGACGGCGCACCTTCTCACTATGTTCTTCCGGTTCGGCAATGGCTAGACGACGAGTTTCCAGATAAACAGATAGGGCGAAGAGGGCCTATAAAATGGCCTACTAGATCTCTTGATTTGATGCCATACTTTTTTTTATTGGGTCATTTCAAATCTACTTTTGGCCAATAACATTTTGAACACTTATTAAAATATAACGTGATATTTTCGTGTTCTTAACAAATTAAGATAAATAAAGTTTCTTATAATTTTCTTGAAAACGAATTTAACGATTTTAAAAAATCAAACGTCAAAATAAAAGACTCCGAAATATACTAAGTGACATATAAATCCGAACACCCAGTTTAAATGGTTTTATTTTAATGAAATTTTGTATAAGTACTTAATGAAGCATAATAAGTAAATGATAAAAATTGCTTTAAAGCCCTTTGACCTTTAATAATGTGTGGATGCACCCTGATGTGCTACGCAATCTCCAACGCGCCTAGGCATGCTTCTGATCAGGTGGTCAATGTCCTCCTGTGGTATCTCATTCCAGGAAACCACCAACTCCTCTCGATGTGCTTCTAGAGTCTGAGGAGGACGTTGCAAATTGAGCAATCTCCTACCCATCATATCCCAAACGTGCTCAATTGGGGATAATTCTGGAGATCTTGGTGGCCATGGTAACAATGTGACATCATTATGTTGAAAGAAGTCTATTGTGACTCTTGCAACATGTGGTCGGGCTTTATCTTGTTGGAAAGTTGGATCTGCCAGGGTGTCAAGATAGGGTAAAAGATGAGGTTCTAGAACTTCGTCGATATAACGCTGCGCGTTCATGTTACCTCTGATGAAGGTTAAAGGTGACCTGGAACCATAAGCTATAGCGCCCCAAACCATAACTCCAACAGTGTGATGAACATGTCTTTCAACAAAAAACTGTGGATTCCTCCTTTCACCACGTCGCCTTCTAACCCTGGCACGACCATCGTGCATGCCTAAACAAAATCGAGACTCGTCACTAAAGACAATACTGTTCCATTCCTGATCCCAGAGTGACCGTTGTCTGCACCACTCAAGGCGATTACGTCGGTGTTCTCGAGTTAAAGGGAGGACCCAGTGTGGCCGGTATGAAAACAAGCCAAAACTTCTCATTCGTCGGTAAACACTTCGCATGCCAATAGGTCTTCCGTGTTCTGCAAACCATTCATTTGCAATGGACCTGGTAGTGGAGAAACGGTCCCTTAAGGCCAATAATCTTAGGCGGCGATCTTCACGGTCTGTTGTTCTACGGCGGCGTCCAGTGCCCCTTGCTCTTTGCGTACGGCCTTCTCGAAGCCATGCCTGACAACACCTAACCACAGTGTCTACACTTCTTTGACTCTAACTGCAATTGCCCGAAAAGAAAGTCCAGCTTCCCGAAGTCCCACTATACGGCCCCTATCAAACTCACTAAGCTGACGAAATCGTACAGGTCTCCGTACTCTAGGTATCGTAACCGATCGTAAAGAATGTCACGAAACAAAATCCGCCAACGTTGATTCTTTACTGCGGCTGAAATATTCATTTTTAGAGCGTTAGTGAATGAAAAAAAGCAGTATAAAAACCGGAATGTCCAACTGATAAGGCTGAAAATTTGTTCACTTGTTATTTACAGTAAGATAAATACATTCACCAACTTTTATTAAAATAAAACCATTTAAACTGGGTGTTCGGATTTATATGTCACTTAGTATACCTTTTAAACAAGCTATTACTCGATACTTCTTGTCATTTAAAATTTTTAAGGCCCTGGCGGGCAGAGTGTGAAAGGAGATGAAGTAGTTTTTCTTTAAAAAGTTGTCTCCCTTGACAAATCTTTTGACGTGTCTCGGCGTTTTTTCTTTTAGTCAGTGGTTTTCGATAAATTTGTGATGGGAACTTTTCAAATGAACATCCTGAATATTGGCAGCTAGGCGAAGGAGTATTTGCCAGATATATCAACTGCATAGCTTTTGTTGCAACTAGGCTTTGATAGCTACAAAGGTTATATGCGGAAAATTACTAGCATCTTGACTCAAGTCATGTACTCGTCTAGTAAGCTTATCACCAAGAATTTGATTATGACTTTTCATACATGCTTTGCATATATGTTAGCGGAGCGTTCTTTGGTGTCTGATATTTGCTGTACGAGGTAGTTTTTCCGTATGACTCCAAATCAACATCGCATCCTCATAAACAGGATACTGTCTAGTGAACGTCCAGTACCAATAAATGACCAACCTTTACGAAGAACGCATGTGTTCAGGATCACCAGTCTGAAAATTATCGATGGCATGCGTGGCTCACAATTAGTCAACTGATGATTTTACTCAAGATGCTTTCTCATCAATGAGTGGTGCTGATCTCCCCGCCGCTTTTTCTCCAGTAGGCTAGTACCTAACTTCGCAATCTTATTGGCCCTTTTAATCTTCCCACCTAAATAATTCGAAGACTACGCACACTAGAAAAACATTTTCAAACGGTGGTGACCTTGGCAATGTCATCAAGTTCATTCAAAAGTTATGTGAACATTTTTAAATAAAACTCCCCTTTACTCCCCTTGTATCGACAGAGAAAATACCTTACGTTCGAATGTGACCGTCACGCTGACCTTGACTATTTTTGAAGGCCGTCCCAAGGTGTAATAAAAAATATTCAGCAGCATACTTGTGAGGTTTGTGGAGATCACCCAAATGTGAACCTGAACCATGCCATTGTCCTCGAATTTCGAGGCCAAGTCAATTTCCAAGGCAACCCAATCCCTATTGAACATGCAAAAAGCAGGAAACTTCACGTCCGAATGTGATCTTGTAGCATCGTCAAGGTCATATCAAGCTTAAATTTCGAAATTAGGTTTCATGTTTCTTCCATTTCCAGTGTAAAAATGAGAAGTATCCTATGGAAAATTTCACTGGACCGTAAATGTCATGGTCAACGTGATTGTCTGGTTAATATTCGGACGAAGGTTTTTCTTTTTTTTTTCATCTACGATCTGAAAAAGATGAGATTCCATTTTTTCTGCTCGAATCCGTATAACTTTAGTTCCAAACTTTTTTCTAGGATGCGTAATTTCTGTCATATCTAAGTGAGGACACTGTATAATAATGCAATAATTTTGTTCACGGAGATGCATTTTAGATTGGAGAGTGCAACCCCATTGCAATCTAAGTCAATGAGACATTCTTCAGTTTTTTTTTTGGAAAACGCTCAGACCCGTCAATTTTGTTTTCGAGGGGGGACATAAGTTTGGCAAAGAATCACGTTAGCACGTGCAGCCCCCTAAGCGGGGGTGATCCACCCCCAAAATCTTAAATGGAAAGGGGTGTCGAGTGACACCTTATTTTAACCCTTTACCGCATCATGTGTCATATATGTCCCAAACTACAAAAATAAAAAAATATTATCTCAAATTAAGTTGTATTCCTTTACTGCATACTATGCCATATTTGGAACGCACCCGCTTACACACAGCAAAACGCACACATCGATAGTAGTGCTCAATTACGAGTTATTTCGTGTCAGAGCCTGATGCGCGCCATTTCTTGCTAGCAGCTGATGGATCCGTTTTGTTTGCAAGTTTTTTGTCTTCTAAAATTAGAAAATCCCCAAAATAAAATTATTGACATTACGGGTGAAGTGTAAACTATGTTATAAGGTAAGTTGTTTTTCATTTGATGTTCATTTAGGAAGCTATGTGTACGATTTTGTGCTTGTGCCATATATGGAACAATATGCAATTATATTTACATTGGTTGCTTTTATTTCCAGTTATGGACCCAAAGAAATTTTATGGTACTCCACAATATGCAGCTGATATAGAGTCCGATGAGAGTGACGATCCAGATTTATCTGGCGACGATGCTGAAAGTGGTGTACATTCAAAAATACAAACCAACCAAAATGATCCAGATTCAGAGTCCGACTATTCATCTGATGATGATTTGCCCCTATCAGAAATTCAAAGACGAATATCGAAGAATATTGAATGGCACGAAGGTAATCTACTGAAAAACGATGACGAAATTCAATTTAGAGGTAATCAGGATCTTCCGGATTCGATTCGTACGCTTGCAACTCCACTAGAATACTTCAAATTCCTTTTCCCAAACGAGCTTATAAGTTACATTATCGAGCAAAGTAATTTGTATAATATCCAGTGTCAACCAGACAAGCCTGTCCACATAAAACATCACGAGATGTTGGGACTGGATAGGATTAGAATTCGATCAAAGAAATGGTATTTACGCATATTTTTTCACATGTTGGATATATGTTGCGTAAATGCTTGGTTGTTGTGGAGACGCAGCAATAAAGAATTTGATCTACCCCTTAAAGACTTCAAGCTGGCCATCGCTGATTCTTTATGCAATCTTAATAGAGAACATAAAAGAAGAGTAGGAAGACCTTCAGCAGAGGTTCAGACATTATATGCCATGAAAAAGAAACGTGGACCTACCAAAGAAATTCCTCAACAAGAGGTACGTCTTGATGGTATGGACCATTTACCAGAATGGAGTGAACAACAAAGATCAAGATGCAAGTTTCCATTGTGTCAATCTAAATCCTTTGTGTCTTGTACGAAATGCAAAGTTTCCTTGTGTTTTAATAAAGAGCGAAGTTGTTTTTCGACGTTCCACACTGAGTAAAGGACAATGTTGTTGCATAATGTTCCATATATGTCACTTTCCATTTTTTTCAAAATAAATAAAGTATGTATTATACAAAATTTTTTTTGGTATTTTTTACATAAATAAAGTATATTTCTCCATTCCTGGGATTTTTTTCGATGAAAACAAAAAATTCATGCAGTAAAGGGTTAAAGGTCTTTCAATTCCCTTTATAATGATATAAAATTAATGTACTTCAGTTCAGTAATTTTGAAGATTTATTGATTTAAAGCTTAAATAAAACTAATACATCATCACTAGTGGAGATCAATATATTCGGCAGCAAAGTAATTTAAAAATGAATGAATGAATTCACTCATTCTTTGTCGCAGGTCTTCTAATGATGTTGGCTGAGTAGCATACATCTTGCTTTTTAATTGACCCTACATAAAGAAATCCAAAGGTGATATATCTGGCGATCTTGGAGGCCATTCAATGCGTCTGATCTAAATATTGTCGAACACGTAATGCGTAATGTGGTGGGGTACCATCCTGTTGGAACATCAGCCTATTTCCAGGTAAGAAAAAAGGACCAACTAAATGATCGCCAAAAATACCAGCCCTAACATTTAATTTTTGTGGCTGCTGTGTATGAACCTCATGATATATTCTGGGATTAGAATCGGACCAATATCGGCAGTTATGACGAAGAAAAATGAACATTCGTCGGAGAAGCAAGTGTTCTGCTGTGGAATATACCATGGTTAATTTATGTAATAAAGCATTACAAGTTATTTTAGCAACAAAGTTTGGTCAAATCAATCGCAAACTATGTACTAAATTCCTATTTAAAATAAGTACGTGATATTTCCTTATATTTCTTCAAGAAATAACTTTTTTGCCACAAAAAAAAACGCTCCAATAGCTATTCTCAACAACAAAATCATAAACAAAATATGGGCGTAGTGAAGAAAAGTATTTACTTATTAAGTCAATTATTTTAGTCACTTTTCTCCTGAAAGTAGTACAAACTAATCTGATGTACCTATTAAAGTCTACTTTAAGCTTCAAATCAATAAATCTTCAAAACTACTGAACTGTAGCTCATGTATTTTACATCATTATAAAGGGAATTGAAAAACCTGTAAAATAAGGTATCACTCGACCCCCCTTTCCATTTAAGATTTTAGGAGGCTGCACGTGTTAACGTGATTTTTTGCCAAACTTGTGTCTCCTGCGAAAACAAAATCCACGGGTCTGAGCGTTTTTTCAAAAAAACTGAGCTGCCAGTAAATGCGTCTGTTTCGTTTCCGATGCGCCACCCGGTATACTTGACGTTGATACAATATGATAACAGCACACCTAGCTGCATATGATTAACAGTATCCTCAAAGTTAGTCTTCCTGCGAGTCCAAGAATGCACGCTGGAAACCATAATTTATTTCACGGTCAGCATGAAGTGAGTCATGGGTTTGTTGAAATCCACTCGACTACCTACAACGCACAGCTACTACTCTTACTTGCCGGTGGCGAAGCAGCCTCTAGCCAACAGCTTGGAATGCCCATTTCAAACTATGACAGGATTTATTGCTCTAAATAGTACGAGAGCTGAGCAGTTAAGTGCATTTGGTTATAGAATGTGAAGAATCCAGAGGAGTTTAAATACATTGAAAGTGAATTGACTAAAACATTGTAAACGTTACGTTTCTCAGATGTGTGTGACATCTACCTACACCACTGCTCTGGTCCGCATCATGCCAAATCACGTCGTGGATCCAAATGTGCCATTGTCATGTATGTCATATGTCAGAATATCCTATGCTGCAGTGCCGCATACTGCGGTAAGGTTGAAATTCCGAAGTTTTTTTCCAATTATTCCATAAAATAGAGGAAAATCGGACTGTAATTGTTGATAGACGACATCACAGGTACCATTAAGAAACGTTCTTGTTATTCAAAATGCGAGGGCCAGATTTGTGGCGCCAGTAATCTGCCTGTGGGGGAAGTATAACGGAACGGCGCGCTCTCCATGCCACCTGAAACTGATAATGTGACACTTATTTACGAAATAATTTAAATCAACCAGATTTTCCATTCTAGATATCATCTCATGCAATAATACTGTAGTTATTGTGTACTCTGGAATACATACTCGCTAAATGTTGTGCAAAAATATAAAACGTTTTTTCATTGAAGAAGCTTTGAATAGATAATGAATAAAGAATATGTATTAATTGTCTACTACTCTAACATTATGTATTCACACCGCAAATATTTAATAGGCTGTTGGGGGAACATTTCACATATGAAACAATAATGTTACCATTACTTACATTAGAGGTATTTCTCTACGTGAAATCTTATCCATCTACTTAAAAGTAGAATGTACCATAACTACTAAGAAATTTATTTTACACTATCCCAATTACACATATAAGAATTGTATTACATGTATATACCGGTAGATGTGTGCTAAGTCCTTGTATTGGACACTGTCGTCCTTTCTCACCAGAACTCATCATGGATCTTCATTCAATTGCCTTGTATCCTGAAGCAATAAAAACAATACCTAAAAGTTACTTCTGCAGTCGTCGTAAATATGTTACATATCGATAGGTGGTCAACATATTGCTTTACATGTTTCACACAACTAATGTGCTTATGATGTTAGCCAATATGAATAAGAGTTTAAAAGGATTTATGTCAATAGAAAAAGGTCTTAGATCGTTGTACTTCATATGTTGGTTCCAAGAACAAGTGTTGCTCAAAGATTGATGTTATACAAAATAGACGTTCGTAACATCATTTTTCTTAAACAACTACTATCAACGGTGCTACGTTGCCTGTCTGCCACAGCACCTTATAACTGGTCCTCCTCTGCGAGAGCCGGAAGAACGTGGATCTCGAGAAAATACAGACTTACACTGAAAAGCTATCATGCCTGGACATTTCAGAGACTGATAAGCTCTGTAGACACGAATTGACCAAATAAGTTGCTATAGATGACTATCGAGAATCAACATCAAAAATAGCGTTACTAAGCTGCGAGCTCAAACTTTCTAATGAGGATTCCATATTAGAATATGCATGTTCATCGTGACAACATAGGTGAAGCGGTGGTTGCAATGTATTTTCACCGTAAAGACACCTCTACCCCGGATTTAAGCGTTTCAAAAGCAATGAAGGCTTACGAAAGAAATGACAAAACCATATCAAAAACACTTGGAGGCTATTCGCCAGCTCTTGGTCTAGTCTCGAAACTATTGGAGAATTTATCTCAGCTTAGTCCAACTCACGGCCGCTGCGCTGGTTGGGCTGCTGTTTGTTATGCAGAATTAGCGGACGATATGATTTATCGAGTGACCTTGGGATCGGTCGGAATATCCCTGAGAATATCGCCATTACCGTCGCCGTCAGTTTTCCGTAAATTTATCGGAAAACATGCGTCGAAATCTTTCTTGATGAACGCGGATGAGTGATATATCTCTTCGTAGATTTGAAGCTGTTCTTCATCAAACGTATCAAAACAGGTACGATATGTATGAGACATTCTGTACATATGCGCGCCCTTTCCATAGTTTTGATGGACATTTCAGCAGGTCACCGATTCTTAGAAGCTTTTAACATTACTGTATTTGATAGCATTCCGGGATAGCCTTAGATTGACCAAGAATATCTTCAAACTGATAATGTGATGTGAGATAATGTGTGAAGTGGATTGAAGTTAGAATAATCACGCATGGGATACCAAGCATTTAAGCCTAAACAAAGCTGCATTATTCTGATTCTTGGGAAGCTGCAATCATTACCACATTGGTATACCCCATGATGCTGCCACCTTCCAGGCCGCTAGACTAACTTGGTTTTTCCGGAAAAATTATTGAAACACATCTATTGGAACCTATACCATTGTGTGAGCCTTAGTGTATGTAAGTGGAATCCGAGTTGAAACGTCTGTCTTTGAGACGAAGCACCAAAACCTTTCACCTTTCAATACACGTATAAGTGAATTTATAAGACAATGAATACATTTTTCGTCTGTTGGCATGATATGTAACAGCAAAAAGGTCCATAATCGGTTTTGGGTCATTCAGTAATGAAGTGCCTAACCAGTCGACCTCGGAATGACCCCCACAGGACCGAGTGGACGTTATTCAGACCCATGTGTGAGCGTCCCCGACTTGAGCTGTCGCATATTTCAGACGATCGTTTCCGTAGTCCCGAAGGATGGTCGCCTGGATACCGGAGATAGCGACCTGTCCCATGTTAGTCCAGGCCCCCTAAGTACAAAGCGATAACATTCACCTTGTTCTCGTGGCGAAAACTAAGCCTGAAAGAGAAGTGGAATGGCTTAGCAGAAATCTAAAAGTATTTATGGTGTGATTTGGA